GGAACCACCCTGCTGGCTAGTTCCTAGAACTACGTGGTGCGAAAGCCCCTAATATGCTGTGGACGATTAATCTGCATATATTTAGCCATTTTAAGATGATAATTGTTGCCAATTTTTGTTCCCTATTGCAGTAATAAGATGGAGGAAACATCAGAGCCAAACACTGCTGGGCGGAAGGTCCCCATACAGATCGTCTGTACAGAAAACAGTTCAGAGAGAGAAAACCGAAACTATCCGCCACATGGTGAATCATCTGGAGGTTCTGAGGTGCCTAAAACTGGCCAACTAAGAAAACTAGATTCTCCAGAGCAATCGAAGTCGCCGTTTATTGCCTACACCCGCCCGGATCCAAGCAGAAATGCAGAACATCAGACTGACAAGATGGTACTAGACAGTAAAGTGCGGGTGAGGAGCAATGGTGTGGGCGAACACTTAGAGGAGGACCTGAAACGAGAAGAGCTGGCCAGAGATATCATGGGGAAGGACAAGAGTCTGGTGGACATCTTGGATCAGAGTAAAATGAAGACAACCATGGATCTGATGGAGGGAATATTTCCACAGGGGGAGCAGCTCTTGGAGGGAGCACAGCAGAGGAGGAAAGCAGCCTCCAAACAGACGTCTCCAAAAAATACACAGCAGAGGTACACTGCCTGAGAATCTCACAAAAACATTTCCAGTCTTCACATTATGTAAATGACATTATTTTGCATTTTTGGTAATGAGCATTATGGTAATAAATGTACTTAATGCAGAAAAAGCTAAGATTGGTCCTAAAACATGGTGCATTTAAAATATGGTTCATCAAAATGTAATTTCTTATTTCTTTCTTATTTCGGGTTAAATATGAGCCAGGTTATGATTTAACATTCGTTTGTGATTCACCCAGAGGAAAATGTGACATTTTCTGTTTTGTCATGTCGCTTTTATTTTTCATCATCAGCGTTACGTAAATGATTTGAAGGCTATAACCCGTTCTACCGGAGTTACATTGTTTGTTGTTTTAGTAGATCATCTGTCTTATTCATGACACCGGTTACAGCTTTAGAGTGAAAACCTGTACACTACTGCCCTCTACTGATACACACATATAGCAAGTATAATGTATTTGGCTTTAAATCTGTGACTCTGTTTCATGTTTGAGAATCATTAAACTGTATTTATATAGGGATTATTCTTTGATTTCTGAAGGGTGGAGGACAATTTGGCGTCATCAGTGTCATTAGTGAGCAGTTCGTCGTATTATAGCACTTCTGCACCTAAAGCAGAGCTGCTCATAAAGATGAAGGACATGCAGGAACACATGGAGGAACAGGATTCAGAGGATGAACTCTATTATGACCTCTCCAACAAGAAGGTACAAGTTTTATGTCCGTTTTGTTGCTTAGTTTTTACTTTAAAGGGGCACTAAGCGATTTTTGCCAAACATTGTTAATATTTGAAAGCACCAAAAAAAACAGGCCCATACCCCAACAGGAATTCACCCCTATTTTGATATCTCCGTTCCCCACAACAAGGGGAAGTCGTGGCCTAATGGTTAGAGAGTCGGACTCG